TCGATCCCCATGTCCTCGGGACCACGTGCCCAATTGGCTGCCGTGAGTGACGCCAGAAGCTTGTCTGGGTCCATCTTGGTGGTAGCCCACCTGCGTGGACCCTCCCTTTCTGGCACCCCTCCATCTCCCACTCGGAAGCTCATCTCGATGGGCAGGTGGTCGGACAGGATATCTATATCCTCCGCCACCCGCCACGAGGTCGCCCATCCCGCGGCCGCAGGGGAAACCCACGACAGGTCAATCACGGATTCCCCCTGCGTCCGCACACACGTGCTCCTGTCACCTCGGTTGAGGAGATGGAGCCCTAACCGCGCCGCCCAGTCCACTACATCGCCCCCCTTGGCGTCCGGCCGCCGGGAACCCCACATCGCCGATTTGGCGTTAAAGTCCCCGGCGACCAGAATGGGGGCCGGCAGTAGGCCCGCGATCTGCGTTTCCAGGTCGTCGAGCCTCTCCTCGTAGTCGTGGCGGGAGAGACTGGGCCGCAGGTAGACACCGATGACTATCATCGGCCCCCACCTAACCGCGACCCATCCCTCGCCACCACCTATCTTGGACACGGGAGTGTGTCTCTCCCGTGTCCTCCTCCAAGTGATGGCCACTGAGCCGTCCGTGCTGCCTGCCCAGCACGGGTGTTTAGGCACACGGTTCGGCTCGGCAGCTATGCCCAGGCCACAGTTTCTTTCCGCCAGGCTGTGCAGGAACAGGTCCTGTGCCTGACGGGAGCGGGCCAGATTCGCCTGCATCGCCTTTAGCATTGTGAAGGCGATGCCGTAGCGGCCTCCTCCTGGCCTTCTCCCCCTACTTTCGCCGTAGACTCGGCTCCCTGCATTTCCGTCATGGGTTCGGTCTCCATCGCTTCATCTCTGTTGACCTCCCCCCTGACCTCCTTGCTCTCCCCCTCCTTTGACTTCTGTGCCCCGGTTTTTCTGGCCTTCTTCATGGCCTTTTTGGACACCGGGGGGCAGGCCGCTCCGCCTGCCTTGTGTCGCGCCGGAAGACCCCTGGCGCTGCAGACCGGGCAATTCAGTTCGCCACCGCACTCTTGTGCCTTGTGGCCCTCTTTGCCGCACCTATAGCATAGGGCACTTCGGTCAGCCGGGTTGCGGCACTGCTCCCGAACATGCCCCCTCTCCAAGCAACGGAAGCACACCAGGGGACGGGCGTTGAGCATCTCCACACGTAGGGATACCCACCCGACCCTGATGCGCCTCTCCGCTGCTACTTTTGTCGCCGCTGCGACCGGGCATTGGGCCCAGACCGTCGCCAATCCATTAGGAGCCCTCCTGGGTTGGCCCATCTTTATGTCACCCTGACCGCAGCCTCCCACTCGTGCTATGGCCTGGGCGATTTCCTCTTGGGTGAGGGATTCGTCCAAGTCTTTGACTCGGATCTCCGCCATCTTCGTGGGGCGAGAGATCCGAATTCCCTCCTTGCCTGCTACCGCCTCGCTCACCTTCTTCGCGAGGGCGTCGGCCTTTTTCGCGCTCTCCGGCCCCGATATTTCAAATATCAGGGCCCCTGTTAGCGCCCTTCTTTGCTTCAGGGGCCCTATCCCTAAGGTCTCCAGATCGACCTTCGCTCGGATGTCCCGCATGCCCTGCGCACTTTCGCCGGCAGGGAAGGAGATCGAAACTGCTTCCGACCTCGGAGACCTTCTCTTTTTCAGGGCCGGTACCTGTGCTTTCGTCCCCTGGACTGCACTTGGCTTAACTGCCTTTGTGTCCGTCCGTTGGGGTTGTTTTTCTCCTTTCCCGCTCCCCATTGTAGTTGGCTGGTTCGCCTTTCCGCCTTTGTCAGATGACCTCATCTTAGCCGCTTCCGCGTATGTGGCCTTCTTCCTGCCTTTCTCCAAAGCCGCAGCTTCAGGTTTCGCGGGCCTCGTCGCTGGTGGCTTGTTGTCGGTCGCCGGCTTCTTCTTACCTTTCCCCTTCCTCACCACCTCCACCCATGAGGTGCTCGGGGGATTGTGGGCCTGTTCCTTGGGCGTCTTCGAATCACGAATGATCTTCGCAGCCGTCTCCCTTGCCCTCACCCTCACTCTGCCTTTAACCACTTCCATCTTTGTGATGGAAGGCAGACTTCTCCCGTCGCTTCCCCTGCCCGACTTACTCTCCCTCGGGATTCGAGATAGCGCTCCCTGGCATCTTACAACTAAATTTTCCAGTTTGCCTCTTACCTCTTGTGGGTTCCCATTGACAATCTCCTTGATGGATAACCCCTCCATGATCCTTTTAACTCCCTCCATGGCCTCATCCAATGGAGGTTCCTCGATCAATCTCCTCTCTCCCCTGATTGTCGGTCGATATACCGGGTTCTCACTCGCTTGGGCCGACTCCGATTTCCCCGCCTTCTCTGCCCGTTGCCTATCAGTTTGGGCCTTTGATCGCATTGACCTTTCATTCTTGGCGAGTTTCACCGGGCTTTGGGTTCGGGCTTGGGCGGGGTGCTCTTCTGGCATCTCCACTTCCATTGTTTCCTCTGGTTCCCTCGCCGCTTCCCTCTTTACTCTCTCCTCCCTCTCCTTGTGAAGGAGAGCCGTGAGTCTCCCCACCTGCTCCTCGAGGGTCCTCACTCTTCCTCTCAGCCTCACCGTCTCTTCCTCTAGGGCCGCGTTGGTGGAGTCGGCCGTCTTCTTGCCCACCACGACGGCAGCAGCCCTCAGCTTGTTGGAGCTGGCCTTTAGCTTCTTAACGAAGGTGCCTTTTAGATTGGAGGATCTTTCGGCTACCTTGGTTACCTCGTCGATGTTTTCCAACATCTCCGCCGCGATTTGGACGTTGCTCAGCCCTTCCATCTGGCGGATGATTTCAAACCTCTCTGGTGTCGCGTTTCGAGGTGCCACCTTGGGATTGAGCACATCCTCCAACGCCTTCTTTTCGGCTTTTAGTTTCTTGGTCTCTTGCCGGCACGCCCTCTTCTCCCTCATCTTAGTACCCTTGTACGTTGTGGAAGGCCTCCCTCTTTCTTCCTCTTGCCGGTGGACTGATCCACCGACGAGCCGGAAGACGATTCGTCGCCCGTGGATGGGTCGTATTCCACGTCGACATCGACCCTCTCCTCTGTATCGGACTCATCCGTGTCCGTCGGGAGTGGAATCTCCCTCGCCGGTTTCGAACTCAGCGGCCCCGGTTTCGCGCCGCGAGTCTTCCTCGCCGATGTGCTGGCTCCCTCTCTACGGGTCTCCCCCTGGGAGTTGCCCGTTTCCTTCCTACCTCCTCCTTTCGCACGGTTTTTGTGTTGAAGAGACATAATGGCAGATACTAGTAATACCGGTTCGCCCATCATGGGACCCCCACCGCGGTGGGGGTACTTCCCCGGTTTTAAGATTCCCTAATTAAAGGCCGGGCAGTGGAGATGCCCTTTTCGGGGGAGCCACCCCCTATCCCGGCCGGTGCTTCTACGAAAAGTGTTTCCTGGAGACGGCCAGGCCCACTATGACGTTAAAGTTTTTACTTCACCCCCAGAGAGGAGCGCGCACCGATCCGATCGGCCGCG